CTACGAAACACTTGAGAACGAGGGGACCATTGGCAGATGTTGATTACGTAAATGAGACCCTAATTTGCATAATTAGGGGGAAATTGCTCTATATAATAAGGGTGGTATGCTGGGAATATACACATTAGGAAGTTAAGTGAATGTAAACATCATTTAACATATTTTTTCAAGTCATGGCCTTATTTGCATAATTTATGAGTAGATGTTAGAATAGCGTTCTTCCTTAAGATGAGACTGTCATTGGGAGGGGAATATGATCAACAGATATTATTCATGCAAATGAGGATCTTATTTGCGAGATCAATGAGCAAAAATGTATCATACGTCCACCGGAAGCGTCAACATTATTTGTCAAAGGTATGAGATCGTGGAACTCTTGTTTCCGCCTGAGTCCCAAAGCTCAACAGTAAGTTAAACACATAATATTACTGCAACTGAGCAAAGCACACGGCTCCTCACTGAACATTTACCTTAATAAATAATATCTATGTAATTATGTTTCCAAATGTTTCAAAAACAGAGAAGAAAGGGCAACTAACAGTAGATGATAGGTATTTTATAGTATTATTGTAATGTATAGATTCCTAGCAATTTGCATTAGAATATAGCGTTCCAGTATGAAATACTGGACATCCTCTTGTGCATTTAGCCCATCTGGACAAGAACATGCAATAAAGATTCATACCATATCATATCATATCATAATATCTCCTAGATGATTCCTTCAGGACACAAAGTAAGCAACTCCACCGAATTCATACCCTCCCGGACTTGTATGATAAAAGCACATTACTTTGCGCTCTTTGTAGTTTCTTAAGGACGTCTTGTTTCCCCTGTTCTATGTACTACATTAGCTGTTCAATACAATGTTTGAACTGTTACACAAGACTAAAGTTCAACTGGTAGGGAAGCCTTCACATGACATCGACCTCTAAAAACGTTGTTAAACCTGTGAGTTAAAGGTCACACAACTGGACGATGGTGTTCTAGAAGCTGTACGCAAACGAACTCAATCGTCGTTGAAAATAAAAGTCTTTTATCATCCATATTCCAAAAGTTATGTTGTATTAACTTAGCGCGAATTAGATGTATTCCCTTTATACATTAGCTCATACAATCGCAATTAAAAAAATATCGTTGTTGAAGAACAACGCTGAATACATACATGATATGAAGTAGAAATGGCTTCCGAAATTTCTGTCCTACCACCACAGGTAAAGCCGTACATTCAACAGATATATTGTTTGTTTGAGCCTTTACCTGTTCGTGAAATATTTAAATCGCCGCTGGCCGCGTTTTGTATTCAAAGAACGTTTGTGACATTTTTCTTTCCGGTACTTTCCGTATATGTCTCGCCAAAAAGGGCATAATATACGTTAAGACGACGTAAATAAGCACGCTCACACTCAGCAGAACAAAACATCATGAACAGTCTCTCATTCCTCGGGCACTGAAGTTAGCTAGTCGGTTTTTAAATAAAACTGAAGTGAGAATAGAAGAAATAAAATTTCCCGTAAACTTACGCCAATTCTAATATTGAGAAACATCATAATTTTTTCCCACCATTTCAAAACAACTATTTTACAAGTAGCATATACATGCCGGGTGACAGGCTGGGAGCGGACGTCCTCTCGTGCCAACTACAACCCAACAAGAGTCCGTAGGACACAACCCTCCGTAGAGTGTGCGGTTTTATCGTCCTACAGCTAAAGAACCGTTTGCATGTGGCTCGAGTGTGTCACCAAGCATTACAGTGACGAAGAACATGCATGTCTAACTTTGCCAACCCTGCTGATGTGGTTTGCAGTCCCAAATCAACACGTAATTCATTCCCCAGACACTGATACATTTACTGGATGTCTCTATCCATTCATACCTGATACTAGTTTACTACAAACAAAAATATGTTAAAGGGGAAAATGGGGGGGTGTGAATCATGAAATGGGAAAAAACAGACAACTGTCATTTTGGCATCCCTATAATTTTATGCATGTCCTTGGCCTGTTTAGTCACTGCGATTTAACCGTGTAAGGACACTATATAATGTCCTATTGTCCTGCAGATAATTGCAAATGTCCGCATGATTTCACATTTTCGACAAATTTCACAATAACACCCTTTCCAATTCTTACTGCATTATATTACATAATTTCCGTTTTTCCAACGAATTCACATTTATACACCAGTTAATGACAATGCGACCACTACTACAATTATACACCAGTACTACTACTACTAGCTACAATGCCTAAAGTCAACCTCTCGGCTCCTATCCAGCCCACATAATAAACGTCCGTCTGCACTCCTCGCCTATAAGCCAGACAGCCAGTATCAAACCAAGAACTTACTTTTTCTCCTTGATGCACAAGAAATTTCACTTTCTATGTGGACTGCTACACCCACAATCATATGATGCTTAAAATGTAAAATCATAAATACATTAAGTGTATATGAAGGCGTCGTAGAATGAAGGAGCTCCGCAAACTCACATGAAAACTAGAAAATAAATGGTTCCCTCCATGTGTGAGGGAGTTATTTTGTCTTCGATTTACTTTAATGACCAGACCGGGAACATTCACGTGGCCGTTAACACGGGCTTTCCGTGTGGTGATTCCGGCAAAATTGGTACAGATAACGACTTATCTCTGTCTGTTTCCCATGACCGTGGATCTTCCCTGTTCCAGTAGAGGAAAAGGATGATCGTTAATGGCATGCCACACCAGACTGGCGTGGAGACTAGATTTAACCGCTAAATGTTCGGTCATTTCACCTCCAAATCTAGCAGAAGTAGAAGTGTTGATCCTAGAAACACACCTTCGTCTATCACCTTGTATTGCTACAAGGTCAACACGTTTATCGTTAAGTGCTTTGATATGCAAATAGCGCATCTAACAACAACAACGAATATCCAATAACATCTGCCCATTACACTACACTGTGTATATATGAGAATGGCATAAGGCGGTGTTTCTAAGAACACATTTTCCATTTTTGTGATTGGTGTTTGATATGTCAAAGTCACATTGCACTCCGCTTGATGGTAGTTCGTAAAATCGTTGGTATCACCGCCATCCGCCATTGTGACCTGAGTTACTAGTGACCTTATAAATAACCCTAGAACAGCTAACGCCAACGTATCCAACGTTTAAAGGCCGGTTTCTCACTTGTTGTATCACCACATATATGTACAGTAGAACACTTTCAACAAAGAAAGGCCACCATTTGAAAATTTACTGTCTAAACAAACATTTGTTCGAGAATTCAATATTCGGCAATAGATGACGTCATAGTCTCACACAAACATTAACAGTCTAGCTAGCCAAGCTGGAAGCGCTTAGGTCCTCTGGTGTAGGTCTGCGTCACTTATAACCGGCTTGGTTTTGTTTAGCGCATAACAAAATAGAAATAAAGTGAGAACAAAGCACGATTTGGCATCGACAGAAACGCTATCTCGATAACCTCTAGGGCTGCTCCCAGAGAAATAACACAGAATTAGAAAAGCAAGACGGCAGATTGATCATACGTACCTCTTTCGTAGGTACTACCACATTATGTGTTATATTCCTATGTTTATTTAAGTAACCAGAACCTTAACCTTTATTTTTCATTCTTGTTTTCTCGTACCGTCTTGTACCTGAATGATTTATGTGTCGCATTACCGCTGTTGCCCACATGGTCATGAAAAGAAGATTTCGTCCATATTAGCGTATTCTAAGCTCATTAAAAGGTGGGTCATCCCGCTCTGTTTGAAACATTACGAAATTGACTGGCGTCTGCAAATTTTTCTCGAAAGTTAAAAAAAAACTTTATTGTGAAATTATCAGTGGGTTGATTCACAAGGTTGTAAGATATCTATGATGGCGCATTAAAATGTCCCCGGTGCGTGTTTTAGCAGCGCTCATGTTCCCTAATTACGTTTGAATTACAGACCACCTGGAATGCAGCAAAGATAGATTACGTGTGCATGAAGGTCCCTTGCAGGGTTCAGGACTAACAAAATATATTGTCAAATTTCGTGTTCTTCCTACACAGGCTGACATGAAATTTTGAAAACGTATTATACAGATATATGACATGTCTTCTGTGTCGGACGAATAGCCATCATCGTCTTCTAAATAAACATAGTGACTTTTCAGTCGCACATATTATATTTCTTTTATCTGTTGGTAGAGTTGGATTTGTCCTCCCGTTCGGAGGCGATGGGAACAAGTCGAGAACGTCATCAGGACTTCTCGGGCAGAAATAGAGTACTGCTAGTAGTTTGTAAAGGTGCACAGTATTTGGATGCGAACTTAAGAATTTGGCAAATGATACATTTCAAGACAACCATCTGTGATCTAACCGTTCCGTCAACATAATTTCGACCAGGAATATGTAAACAGATGCTGACAAAACAGAGACGCGGGCTCACCTTCTTGTTACGATAATATGGGTCGATATCCTCCACTGGTCTCCCATACAACTTCTTGGGGAATCTTCCAAGTGAAGTTGGCAAAGAACGTCCAGCTTCCAACTCGGTGTCAGGAGCGTCGCTCCCCGGGCGAGCCTCGCGGTCTGCGCCGCTGTGGTGCCCGGGAGAGCCGGGCGGGCTGTGGGCCGGAGAGCCGGGCTGAGAGAGAGCAGCTTCCTCGTACGCCTTCTCCTCCTCGATCCTCTGCTCGATCTCCAGTAGTGTTTCCCGAGTGAAGGGATGAAACATGTAAGCTCGCTCCATTTTGAATGGTTTTGTCTTCACCAGCTGTGTACGCACACATCCATTCAGTCAGTCAGCTTACCCATAACGCATCATACACCCATTGTGTTAGCCTAAAAAAGCTTAGGTCCGACGGCTCACAATATCGGTTAATCCTCCAGCTGCACGGGAGCCGTTCCTTGGCAGCTACCTATCGTGTGGAGCATGCCTATCGTCGCATGCCCTCGGGGCCGTGCTCAGGAATGCCAATCGCCGCCTCCACTTCCCTCTTGTCTCCCATGAAGTAAGCTTGACTCGTTACCGAATTAAGCTCGCTGGCTGCGATACCCACAGGCTTCTCGGTAACAGGTGCGGGGCTGTCGGCCTCCGATCCCCGCTCTATTCCCTCGTGCCATCTTATTCCTCTTGGTTGGAATGTCTCCCTACTAGGACATTTGTCCTAACCGTAGCGGGGTTTAAAGGACTTCCGATACCCCTGGAGAAAGACAAGGTTATGTAAATGTAGCCTGGCCGTCCGACATGTGCAACCTTTACACTTTTGGCACTCTATCGTGACAGGCTTACAGTAACAATAGAGCATGCGCACTGTTGTCCTCACAGGTCGCAAATTTGCAGACGACGACGGAAATTTCAGAATGTTCTGGATGCGAGCTCAGCAGGTGTTCATAATCTACTTCCTTACATATTTCACATGACGTCATTGTAGCAGCCTTTATTCAGGGAATTATAGAATGATTAATCGACAGCTGGTTTTTCAAAACGCAGCTCTAGAATCAGACCCAATTGACATTCGCTCATTTCACTACCATAGAAAACACAGATAAACACGCCCCTCCACTCCTGCTGTCTCTTCCAATTAGATTATTAAGGCTTTAATAATTAATGCGCAAAAAGCTTACTATAGGCTGTGCATGCACGAACATACAGCAAGAGTTCAATGAATGGGACAAAGACTGTCAAGCGAATCAAAGGGTCACGCAGGTGCAAGGGAACAAGAAATGCGACGCTGCGAAGACTCAGCTTCTGTTTCTGTAGTATTTACGTCTTAACGCAATACCCAAGTAAAACGGTCACACTTTTATTATTACTACAAAAAAAGATATAAAGAAAAGTCCGTTTTTTTTATAACTGAAAATGCTTGCCAACTTAAGTTGCCCTGCTTTGTGAGCTGTACAAGAATACACCTGTTGCACTTTCAAAGAAAACCGGCGGCAGGGCGATCTGTCTGTCTTCATAGCGCAACAGGCTACGCTATTTTGGGTCGCAGTAGCTATAGGATACCCGACAGATAATAATCGCATGTGGCAAGCGAAATGGCATTTTCAGCCTCCAGTAGATCCCTTGAGATATTGCTGTGGGAGGACGGGAGATACATATGGCGGGATTGCCTGACAGTCTCGCCAGAGCTGCATGCGCTTCATAAACAACTTCCTTCTGCTCTTCCCATCACTCATTGCTTCGCCGAGGTACGTGGCGAATCAACCTTTCTAATATCAGCATCAACTCGTCCACATTTTACAATTATTTACCTGAAAACGGACCGAGTTTCACAAACTTTATTGGGAACCTTTTGACGAATCTGGTAAACAAAATGGCAATGATCGGCAGTTAAGCTAAATGACACTCAAAGAGGCTAACGAAGATAGACAGACAGCTTTGCCAGAGAGCAAGATTTTGTTTCTTGCGTTGTTAACTGCATTCAGTACAAGTTACGTAATAACTGCTATGGTTTCTGTTGTAAGCTAACATAAAACATGGTTGTGCAGACTGCACTAACGAGCGTGTCGGACAGCCTCGCTATCTGCTGCCTGTCCGCACGATAAGACATGATCGCTTCTTGCTGTGGTGGGAACGATAAGAAAGCAAAGCAACCTTGTGACTACATGCTCACTCACAGGGGCTTTGGGTTATTGTTCGCAATAGAGTGAAAGTCAAGCCTGGTCCATTATACGTGCGATAGTTAGTAGGTAGTGATGTCTATTTTAGGTAGTTGTTTGTCAGAAAATTTAGAATATTGAAAATATCTTGTGACCCCTCATTGTTTTAGCGTGTGATTTTAGTATAATTCTTTTCGATTTCTAATCGACACATTCTACTGTTTAGAGGACATTATCCTTCACCCGTACGTGCTGTTTGATACTAGTATGCCATGGTGCTAGGAATGGTCCCAACTCCTCTGCCAATCTTGCAAAATGTCTAGTTTTTAGTCAGCTGCTATCACAGATGTTTTAAATGCATCTTACCTCTGTATAGTTATAATGTGTGCAAATATATGACTTTGGATAAATTGTTATATCATGATCACAGATGTGATCATAATAAATGTAATAAATGTTCACGTTTATGTGAGTGTGTGTTTGTGTGTGTGTGTTTGTGTGAGTGTGTTTGTGTGTGTTTGTGTGTGTGTGTGTGTGTGTGTGTGTTTGTGTGTGTGTGTGTGTGTGTACTGTGGTTTAGCAAGATAACTCGAGAAGCACTGCATGGATTGGGATCAATCTTCATGAAACCTAGAAATTATTAGATTTTGGCCCTCCTGGCGGCTTTCCTTGGTACTGCAGCAGAACTTCCGGTTTTGATATCTTGTGATCTGGACAGGCTAGGGTCACAAATTTTTTAATGGTAGATAGCTCTTGGGATAGGGAAGTAGAGACATTAGTTTGGGTCCCCTAGCAGCTTGTTATGGAACTGCAGGGCAATTTATTTAAAAATCTTCTAAGGGAGGATAACTCAAGAACCGGCTGACGGATTGTCATGATTTTCAGTACGTAGGTAGCTTAAGTGATGCTTGACATAATTAGATGATAATTATGCAAATCATGAGACAATTTGCATAATTAATGAGGAACTACTATAAATCAGCTGTATTCCATAATAGACCTGTGGAACACTTGTGACATATGCAATTGGGAATGAGAGGTACATCAGACTATATAGATTATGTTAATGAAGACCTAGTTTGTATAATTAATGGAAAATTGCTGTAATTTCATAGTGGTAACTGCCAGGCAGTTCATACTTAAGATTTGGAAGTTTTGAAACATAATGTTTTTCAAATCATAGCCCCATTTGCAAATTTATGAGGAAGTGCTAGAATAGCCTTCTCTGTTACAATGACGCTGTCATTGGGTAGAGAATGATAATTATTTACATAAAGATAATCATTATTTACATATACATAATACTTATTTACATACACATAATTATTCGTATGAGATAATAATTATTTACATAAAACTAATAATCGTTTACATATAAATAATACTTATTTACATAAGATTAATTATTATTATTTACATATAAATTATAATAATAATTATTTATTGATAACAATATATCCCCCATTATTATTATATAATCCATGATGGAAATGAAATGAGGATCTTATTTTCATAATCAATGAGAAAAATGTATACTTTCGTCAGTTGGAATAGTTTGGCGAAGGCATGAGGTCGTGGAACTCTTGTTAATGAATGATATGGCGCCAATTTTACCAGTTGCTCTTAGCTGCCTTATCTTTCATAGTTTTGATCAACTGCGCGTGCACAGCACATACGTTACATGGAGATTCCGTCATATGACCGACATTTTTCACTTTAATGGCAGAGGTTGCTTGTAGGGCACCGCATCGGTAAAACTTGATCTCCAGCGCCTTCATGTGATGTACTTTTCGAGAAGTCTTTTACCGTAGCGTACCGTACCGTGTTCTTACAAATTCAGAGGCCTTGAGCCACTGTGATCACAAGTGAGCTGTCCCTTGAGGTTGCCGGAAAACCAAGGGCAAAGACGATTCTCCATCCCTTGTTTCGTGTGAAGCTATAAAAGCCAGCAGTTATTTTCATTAATCAGAAGTAGACATACACTTGTGTAATCTCTACCCGAAAGGCCAGCCAGAATGTAAATGTTGTTAAACAGTCCCCTGTGTGAGACAGCCTTGATATCAGTCTATCTGCGGCCATTTTGGTCAGTCGAAAAGTCAGAAACTTTCTGCTGTAATCTTTCCGGGGGACAGGAAGTGCTGAGAAGGCAGGCTTACTTCTGATGTCTGATACCGGATGAGACGATTACGGACGACATTCTCTAAAGTGCTGTGTGTCAGCTAAATCTAGATTATGCAGAGAAGGGTCGCGTGTTGTCAGACTTAAGCGAGATCGCTGGCTTCCATGGAATTATGAATCAACCATCAAATAGATTCGGTCGGAGCCTTAAGAAATATGGAAATACACGAGCCCTACAGCCCATTAGGGTCAATTGTTAACCATGAGAGATTAGACCACACACACACACACACACACACACACACACACACACACACACACACACACACACACATACACACACACACACACACACACACACACACACACACACGCACACACACACTCACACACACAGACACACACACACTCACACACACACACACGCACGCACGCACGCACGCACGCACACACAAATACCATCTATCGCAAGTGCTTGGGTGTGGCTCTCACGTGATCTCCCATGCGAGTGACGCTCATAACGGAAGCTTTATTGTAATAACTTGCAATTGTATGTGATCCTGTATATCTACATAACTGCTATATTAATTTTGATAAAGTATGATTTGCTTGATCAGATTTGATGATTACGAACTAGTTGTTCTCAGAGGATTGTTTTGCGAGCGGCGGTGCCCGGTTCCGAACCAGCTGCCGTGTTCACTCCATTATGACGACACAGGCGGGATGTCTGGCAGCAATCCAGAACTGGAAGTATTATTTGTAAGGTTCGATGTTTACAAGATTAGAAGGGTGTATACTTTGTACAAGCGTCTATTTTCATCGAAATCATGGTCAAATGTGACTAGAAAATAGCATCTAAGTTTCATTGGTGACATTTCCCACTAATTTACCTCACCAAACCGATTCTTTTATCTCATTGAAATATCGGGTGCTACATATATAATATTCAACCACTGAATGACACCCCGCCGAAATCACTTACAGTCGTATGCAAGAATATAATTAAGGGTTAATGACCCGCCCCGATGTGAATATGGTGTCATAAAGCCTTGTCAGTTGCTATAACCACCGAATAAAGCCACTGAGTGAGCGCAGCGAACGAGGTGGCTTTATAAGTTATTTTATATAAGTTATTTTTGGATTTTTTAGAACAAAGCGGTGTTCTTTTTGGGTCACCTGAGGTCATATGCGGGTGATTATTGGGTTGTTTAATGTATGGATTGGGATGAATAAATAAATACCCGGTTTTGACTCTATTTGTGACATTACGGCGACATAGTGAATGTGGAATGGAGCCTTCTGATTGGTCAACGTCACCCGGCTATATGATAATTGGGTTTGTACCTCCGGGAAAGAAGATATCCTTCCTGTTCCTGAGTTTATCGTCCTA